ATAAACAAATGTTTTAGGGCTCCATCTTTTTCTGATGTTCTACGAACCTCAAAACAAAGGTAAAGATTTTGATTGTTAAGAAACTTGATTGGCTAAATATAAATTAAAATGATTACATTCTCTCAAGTATTAACTAAACACAAAATTGTATTTCATCCTTTATGGGTATTGAAACTATGTGACCGAAGTTTACATTAACGCATTTATTAGTAGTTGCCATTATTTCAATGGCATTGTATGGTTGTGCAAACATGAATTTTGAGTATTGTTAAAACACTACAATAGGGTAACGTATATAAACCAGGGTCGTCCCAAAGGAAAACGCCTTTTCCTTAACTTGCTTGCACGACTCTCACAAAAGAGAATGAAAGAGTTAGGTCGTCATTAGTATTCTCCCAAGGGGCGAACGAAACTTTGCACAAAGAGTTATTTGCTTATTGTTCGCTTACTCGCTACCTCGAAACAAATCGACTTTTGTAACTCATTTAACAAACTCGTAATATTAAAACAATTGATTAGTATTTTTTAATTATTTATTAATAAGTCCAATAACTCAACATTTAAACAGCTATGTTCTTCATGTTCTTGAAACTTGATGTTCTCATGCGATGAATGGACGGCCAAGCTACAGGTAATAAAAGATTTCTATGTTTTTCCTGCATGTTTAATTCTATTATCTTAATTGAAAAATTCTGTTATCTTATTCAAGAGAAATAAATTCTTTAAAACTCATATTAATGTGCTGTAACCGCAACTTCACTTTACAATATGACTAATTTATTCCAGGAGCAAATTAAAAAAAAAACTTTATTAACTGAATTCACCAGAGCAAAAACTGAAAAATTCAATTTGTCTTTGGCAACTTTTCCGCGATTCATAACTACTTCGTTAACTAAATAATTAGAAAATGTTCTTAGAATTATAATTAAAATTCAAACTGAATAAAACTCCCGCAACAGGGAAGACAAAACTTTTACAGACTGCATTTGAAAGTTCTACTAATTAGTTCCTTGAACATTATCGGTAGAGAAGATTCATTAAAATGTACTAGAAATTAAAATACTGGCTTTCTCTGAATGTATGCTAGGATATTACTCTGAAAGGATAAAGTTACGCTTTTAATAGCTTATTTTAGTTAACCATTATTATAGTAGGCAATTCTCGCTTGCTATTGTAACGAACTTTCGAGATTTCTTTGTTATAAGTTTTTGAAAAACTGTTATTCTATTTAAACAAAGCACTATCCTTTTAAAAAAAATTTAGTTAAACACTTAAAAATATAAATGACAAAAGAGTTTACTCAATTTTTTAATAATATAACGCCAGTTAAAAACGTATATTTCAAACACACTTTTTCCTACTGATTCAGAATGATAACCAGATTGAACAGCAATATTTATGTACGATACATTTAGTTTTTTATTAATAAAGATATTTCAAGCTATAAACTATTTTAAAATTTAAATATTCAAACAATTTCCGTCATGCTATGTTGTTAATTATTAATTTAATTTATTATTGCTAACTTTTGCAAAAGCCTCACTTTATTGTTACAGTAAGCTGAGTGCGTTTTAATTAAAATCACTTTGATATTCCTCTCTAAAATAGTTTTCGGGAGAAATGAAAAATTAACGAGTAAAAGCATTAAATATCATGACGATCGTAAATAATTAATTATTTCATATATCATATTATTACAAGATGACTGATATGGTTGGTTTCCACTGCTGAAAGAATGGTGCGAAAACATATTGTTATTTCTGATTCTTTTAGAGAATAAAAGCAATATGTTTTAGTATAAGTATTCTACAGCTGAAATCAAAACACTTCTCTTACAATTTTTTTTTTAATAAAAGGGGATAAACGAGTGGAGGGAACACAGAGGTGGTTAACGACGCCCATGGACATCCGCAACACCAGAGGAACTACAGATGCGTTGCCGGCCTTTGAGGAAATGGTAGGCTTGCTTCTTGAAGGACCCTTACAATATTATCTCTTCAAAATTTCCATTGAATTTATGGCCTTTATGACGCTGTTAAATATTTAAATGTCGTTTTTCTATTCAGCTGCCAGTGACTTAGTGTAGAAAGGTCGAGCAAACAATATAATTTCATAACTTACATTCGTTAGTTTACAAAATAAATTCACCGAAGCAAGAACCACAACAAATAAAACTACTAAATAGCTTTCAAAAAGTTTTATTGAAAAAACATTTTTCATTTATACATGTCCATTTCGAGCGACGCCTCTAACGTTACGAAGTTATTTTAACTTTGAACCACGCTTTCAACGAATGTAAAACATTTTTAAACAAAAAGGTGTTTCAACGAAATGCGATGCGTCTTTCAAATGGCATTTTAGCTTGTTATAGGCGGGTAGCTTTGTCACACTTTGCGCTTTCTGCTGAGTAAACATCCGAACGAAAAGCTTCTCTTCAACACATTGACGTCTCATTCATTACCTCATTCTCAATGAGGTAATGGAAATAACAATACATGTTTGAATATTTTTTGAATGTCCTTTAGTAAGGGTCATTTTTTTTGAACATACATTTTTCTTAATACCATAAAAATATTAAATTTCTTCTAAAGATATGGTTTTCATATTTTTTTTTCTACATTCCTAGTTGTATTTTTTCACTATCGTATTAATATTTCTCGTTCCATCGGAGCAGAGCGAACAAAATTGTAGTTATATAATTACATGATTTGATGTTAATGCTGTTTGTTTTATTATGTGTTAACCAGTGATCGCTTTTACAGCTTAGTATATACCTAACAACAAAGGCAACGCGGTGCCAGCGGGTAAAGTGATAAACATCGCAAACGTTAAAGCCCATAATAAAAGAAGTAAAAGAAAATGTTAATTATTCTAAAACTCCAATTATGAAATACTTGACAATTTGTAATATTACAAGCTTCTTCAAGTGTAAATTGGATTGGACTTAAATACTTGAAGTGTTAATGTAGCTCGAAGATCCTCAATGGTCAAATCTCTCTTCCCATGATTTACGTACGAAATCATTTAAAGAAAATTCTGTTCATTCTCTATAGTTATAAAATACTATTCTTTTATTTTCGTTTTATTTTAAATTACCTCTTTTATTTCTTGTAAAGCTTCGAGAATAAATATGGACTACATATATTTAAGTGCTAAAAACGCGAAGAAGCATTAATGCACCGCTTTGTTGTTTTATTTTATTTCTCTGTTTCTTTATTTTATAACAGTTTTGTTGCACCGTTCCACTTCTTTTCGTAACAAAAGTAAAAGGTATAAGGAATAGGTTTCAAGTGCCTACTCCATATGCTTTACTTATTGTAAAGTTTGCTATTGTTCTCTTCTTTCCAGCCGTCTTCCTTTTTATGGCCGAACAGAGTCAGCGATTTTTTAAAACAGTATTTTATTTTGTATTCAACGGACATCGTCTTCTGTAGCTATAAACACCCGGGTTTTGTATAGTTAACACCGTAAGTGTTTTATAAATTTAAATTGTATAACCTAATTCTGGTCCTCTTTCCTTTTTATCTTCTTTCAAAGGACGATGGAAATGACATATTGATCTAGCGGAAGAGGTGATTAATAGTAACGAAAAAATCCTTTTTCATGTACATCTCTTCTTTTCGTTAATGTTAAAAGTGCATCTAAACTCCTTTTTTGTTTGTTGCAGGCGCCGATGGATATTGGTCACTTCTTCGCTTTTCTAACCATAATATTTTCCAATAAGGTATGTTTGTATCGTTTATTTAAAAAAAAAAAACTAAGTAAGAAGATGGATACATATTGCATTTATTAATACAATCTCTAGAATATGTAGGCTATTACAAAACAATACATCGTTTAAATTTTATTAATCTCGGCTTCAAAAGAAAACCAACGTAGCCCAGAATTCTAAAACAAAGGGCGGCGACACAAAGTACGAAAGTACGAATATAATAGAAGTGTCTCGATTGTACGCGCCGTGTATTATGCTTTTGCAATTAATAAAATACATACATGCAGGTACAAATACAATGTACCAAATATAGTTCGCCATATTTTTTTTTTTCGAAAATCAACCAAACACGACCGTGCTAAAAGAAAAACATGCTATTAAATTGAATAATCCTAGAACATGCACAGAAAAAAATTAAAACCCACATCGCGTGATATTAAGCTTTTAAATTTTATTTTGTGACGATTCAAATCAAGAGAGATGTTAATAGAATTCTACGTAGTAACTTAATACATCTATCTCTTCTTTAATATATATAAAAGTATGAACTGACTCAACGATCAACGCACAGCCAAAACTACTGGTTGTAGAGACTTTTACAGTAAGGTTCCTCTTACATGTAGGCGTCTACTAAGAAAGCATATTACGAAATTCATCTAAAAAGGGGATCCAGAGTTTGTATCGAGAGATGTTGTTCCTTCTACAAAACTACCTCATTCAATATTTTTTTTGAATACCAATCAAATCATCCTCTAAAAGTCCAAAGTGGGGTTCAAAGTTTACATGGAGAGATATTATTCCTTAAAATTGTAAATTGTCGTAAACACTTTTGAAAACGTGTTAAGATTTGTCTTATGTCTTAATAGATACGTAGGTGTACATTTGAATCGACCTTTTAAACTCCACGCGAACGAAGTCGTAGGCTACAGCTAGGTTTTAATAAACTCAAAAGGTACAATAACGTAACAAAACAAATAAAAGTTGAAACACTGTTATTATCAAAGTAGCCGCCTCGAAGCTAACACTCCACAAATACCTAGATTGTGGTTTACGATTTAACAATCTAAGTTTAGAATTACAAACCAGATGGCTGGCTAACTCTTATAAAGAAATATTTAAACACTCTATTCGGTTACGCGTCGAAAAATTCAAATGAAATCTATAGAATCAAATAATAAACACACATAACAAAACATAAATAAAATCAACGCATATTCAACAATATAAAAAAGTTTCGCGCAGAAATAATAAACATTTAAAAAGTTTAAAATAATTGAAAGTGACTTACCGAAAGTTTTTGTTAGTGTGAATCGATGAAGTTGGCGCGAGTAGAGCAGTCGTAGTCGGCAGTCGTGTAGTTGCAGGTGCGTGCGGCGCGCTATCAATTAACTCGAGCGAGTATCATCACGCGAATGAAACGGGTAGAGGCGGCGCGTAAACACCGCGGTAAGGCCGGCGCCGACGGCGACCGCTAGCCGAATATCCCGAGAGAGCGTCGTGCACGAGCAGCCACGAGAAGCGCTCAGATCGATACCGGCGCTACCACGCTCCCTTTCGAGTGCTCGACAAAATAGGGTCGGACGACAGCTCGCAGATCTCGTAAACTATACGGGGACCGGTGAAGACCTCTCGCGGCGACCGATGGTACGACTGTGACGGCGAGGCGGGCGAATGGTTGAAACTACGAACCGCATTTCATTTTAAACCGTGACGTAGCGGGGAGGCGCGATGATCGCACGGGGCATGCGCGCCGGGGAGTAGGCGCGGCGCGGTATTGCGCGTGCCGTTGACGCGCGTGGCGCCGAGCACGGAACAAAGCGGGCGCTGCGGCGCTGCGGCGCTGAAGCCGCGGCGCGCGAATCCGAGCCCAGGCCTGGATCTCTCACCCGCACGCAACTCTCCGCCGCCGCCGTCTTAACGCACGCAACACCATCGATCATCGGCACGCACCGCAACCTCCACACGAACAACTCGAAATTTTACATTAAAATAAACCTCCTTTGCATATTGATATCGCCTAATTTTCGGCTTTTCTTGAAATTAAAAATGGACGTTAAGAAACTTTGAAACAATCTATTTTATCGCTTCCTTGGATACAAAATATATAAGTTGTGGTAATTCTAAAAATCTTATATATTATCATCACTTATCACTTTATGTTATAAAAAAAATATGAAATTTTCATACTTACTAGAACAATTAAAGTCGAACATTAGCGAAAGCGAAAAATAAAACGGCATGATACTAAAATGCTTGCGATATAGATATGAACCTAAGAACTTAAAGAAGTTTTGTTTTATTTATTATTTTTTACTAGTCAAGTCTATTGTTATTTATTGTTTATAAACAGGCGTCAAGCGAAAGTCATTCCGCGTTTCGTCTGAAGAATGTGCGCGCCGAAAGCCTTTTAGTCCACATCCCCTTCCCTTTATTTTCTTTTAAGAAAAGTTGGTTTGACAGAGGAGGGGACACAGAGGTAGGGGAATTATCCCTGTCTGTGTGCGTTCTCCTTCGTCAACGAAAGCTAGGCAACGCGTCTGCCTTTGCAGATGTCTTGGAACAGCGGGTGCTTGGCTATTTCAGCAGATCCAGGTGGCCACTTACTCTTTTGCCTCCTTTATAATATAAAAAGAAGACTGATACTGAAAACCGCTTTTCTATCTTTATTAGCAATGCATAAAACATTAATTAATTTAACAATATAAATTCTAAATTTTGGGTACAATACTATTAAAAATAATTACTTTGTAAATAATGTTAACTGTATTTCATATAATGAGATGTTACAACCAATCCGGATAAATCGACAGAGTGACTATCATCGCAATTCACAAATATTGTAATCTTCACATTATGCTTTGGATCATAAAGAGAACTATTTGATTAACAAGGCATATGGAAAGAAAATGTTACAATTGTTACCTTATTGTTATGTTAATTGTAAAGAAGCAAGATAGCAAATCTAAAAAGTGTAAAAGCAAACATGATGTTGTTCAATCTCTCGGAAAGATTAAAATAATCTTTAAAGTAAACGTACAATGGCGTGTAGAAGAAATATAGTAACTCAAACAATGTCTAGTTGCGAGGCATGTGAGTTCGGAAATTTCCAATTTGCAAAATACTCAATCGATCCATCAGCAATGAAGACTATCCTATATCTACGGATATTACTTGCTAATTGGACTTGTAATTAATCTCGTATTCCAAGTATAAAGTTTAAATACTTAAGTTGATGGATGGATCGTAAAGACAGCGGGGATCACTTTGAGCAATTTGTAGTCGTCGCCGATGGCACCAGACAACGACGCTCTTGTTAACGCAGTGCAACTACATTATTTATTTACAAGACATGGCTATGCGTTAGAACTCAGTTTGCACACTGCAAACCCGACAGTCTGCTTTCTTAAACATCTATTACGAGAACGGAATATTTGTACAGTAAAATATCAAAAAATGTAAGAATTGAAAGACTATTTTCACAACACAGTTCAATGTAATTCCTAACAAAACTCATCTATTTTAACTGTATCACACAGTAGCCTCGTGGGGAACAAGCGTGATTGACTTTAATTTTATGACAGTAAAGATATTATTCTTCGCTTGACAATAAATCACATTGTGCCAGCTAATTTTGTGATGTACTATTTTTAGATTAATCCATAAGGACAGCTACGCGACGTGTAAAGAAGTAATCCATAATACATTATGTTGTTATGCAAGGATTTTTTGTACGTTTTATACAAAACTAGCTTTGGCCCGCGACTCCGTCCACGTGCAATTTAAAACAATACAAAAGTTAGTAGCCTATGTATCCTTCCAGACTATTATCTACATCTGTACCAAATTTCATTAAAACCTGTTCAGCCGTTTAGGCTACAAACTCTAACATCCATCCATCCATTTACATTTTCGCATTTATAATATTATTAAGATTGACTGAGGAGTAGCAGTTTTACTCAATAGTAAATTAAAGAATTAAACATCCATAAGCGTTGGGTTATACAAAAGAAACACCGAGTGGGTAGTCAAACATTGTTGAGTATAGCTATCATGTGTTCTTAGTCAGCAGAACATCTTTGAACTTTTTATTGCCACTAAAAAGGCACGAGAACGCTTCCCTATGGTCATTAATTCAAATCGAAAACCGTAAATTTTTATTTCATAACGTAGCTACATAACATTTGGATTGCTCCAAAATCTAAATAACGTTACCAAACACAAAGTTACTATTAGATAAAAAAAACAACACGAATTTCCTAAATACTCATTGCGATTTCTATATCTTTATATATCTCTATATAAAATGCCAGTAACAGTAAAAAAATAAAGCCCATTCGTTAATTTTAATATGAGCCAGGATATGTGTGTTAATTATATACGCTTTCTGTCGTTATTCCTCCCTGACATACATCCTTTAACAGAGAGTTTCCACTGCTGAAACACCTGTACACAACCATATCGTCCTCTTTTTTTTTAATGCTAAAGAGTGGGACGACAGTATGTGTCGCCAGTGGTATTCATCCAACGTAAAGAAGAACGACATAATACTGATTGCAAAGTTTTAAAATCAACACTGCTGTGATAATTAACGCATTTAATTGTCTTTGACATAATTTTATTCACATACTTTGTGTTTAAAATACTTTGATTTAACTTTGTAGCCATTCATCTTTGTCTTTGTCTTCATACCATTGACGCAGTCAGTCGACGTACCATGTTATCGTTCTTTTTATGAATTATTTTTCGTTACCTCATCTTGATCATGTCATCTTTGACTCAGTCCATCCATCTTTTCCTAGGTGTAACTCTGCTGATGTTCGCTTTATCCGATGCAATTCTTCACTCCTCATTAAATCCAAACATCATGCTAACCATTATTTGGCAATATGTTCGGAAAATTATATTATTAGTCCAGTCTATCGAGATTAATAAGTAATAGGAGAATCAGAATTAATTTGAGTAAATTAAATCGTCAGAAAACCATAACGAAAATAGCAACAGTGAGTAATAATTTCAAAACCCGGTGGTTCCTTTGTATATATTGTATGAAGCATTCAGAATTTATTGCTATTTTAAAAGGAAAATGAATCGTGTACTAAATTACCTTCCCCCTTCGGTGAGGGTGTCGGCGCCAACCTGCCGTACACGTGTGCCAACGTTCAAAATCGCAATACGGTTTACTTTTTAGACCAGGTTTTTCGAACAATCACACTCTTTCAAAACATATGTAGCGATAGAAGCATAAAATCAGTGATTCTTTTGTTTTCTATGGGCTATAAAGACTATAAAATTATGTTCAGTCCTTCAAGATTGTTGTAACCTTTTTCAACATAATTATAACTTGAAGTTTTAAAAAATGCTTATAATTTACATATTATGTATATCTGACTCTCTGTCGTCAATTTCACTTAATCCGGATTTGTACAAACTTATTGAACGTGCATTAATTGCATCGGATTAGGTAGCAGACGGCAACTGAGCTCTTGGTGCCTCGACAAATATTTATCTTGTCTCGATCTCATTAACACATATCTCGTTACAGAAAAGCTAATCAATATGTTTACATTTATAATAAATGTAAATAACAGCACCTATAAACAAGTTTTCCACACGTTTCGTGTGGTGAGCGATTAGAAATTTGAGATCCACCCGTATGAGTTTCGACGCGACAGTTTGAACACAAGCCGCGAAATGCGCTTACCTGTTTATCGCAACACCACAAACGACAACTAACCAGTTTAGTGTCGGATCGAGTTGTACGCCTCACTTGCTCACTAAGTTTGGCGCCGGTTAAAGCGACGTTCCATATATACTGGTCGTATATCTCGTTTTGCAGACAGTTTATCATCCGTTCTATTTGGATTAACGAACTAAATAAATAAATCTACTCAATGTGGATACCATAAAGTATAGTTAATTTTATGTTTTACACATTCAAATCACAATTGTCACTAGGGAATATTAGCGGTTACAAAACAATATGAATCCTTATAAATACGTAGCGTACGTAGTAGGAAAAGCTTATTCTAAAAATACATTATTCTCATTTTCCCAACCGAGGAAGATCCGTAAATTCTTGCGTTTTAAAACAATACAATTGAATAAAGCTGGATAAAAATAGATACTATTGTCTTTTTTAAGGAACACAATCAGAAGTATGAAATGAAAGGATTTAGTCATCTATTTTTAGACTTTAGAAAAAGTTTAATCTATAAAGTAAATATCTAAAAAAGTCTAAATAAAATGGATATCAAGATGCTATAAAATAATTTCCTCTAGCTTACAAAACGTTGTCACGTTTACCGCCTACATCTTGGCACGTAGAGACAGGCGCAAATGCTAATCCTTAACTTCCCGTATCCGTTCTAAGTTACCCAGTAGAGATGACGGATTTGATCAAATCACACAAACTTCCATTTCACCGGCTCTCAATGTTTCAGTATCGCATATTCAAGAAGTTCTAAATAATATTGTATCGTAAATTTGTTTTCTGTTTATCAACAGATTTAAGGCCATACTCAGAGTATATCACAGTGGTCTCTCTTAATTTAAATGTTTCATACTAAATCTATCCTAAAGGAGACGTCTTAAAGAAAATTATTCGAATTTAGTTACGACTTAATATAAAAATTGTATCTAGATATTATCCATTATAATTATAAAAAATATTTCTAATAGCATTTTTATAAAAACATTTTGCTTTATAAATTTAATACTAAATTTGAAGTCTGAACAAAATTTAATTTTGTCGTAGCAGAAGTTCCTTCACAATGCAAATTTTCGTATACTGCTGTGTAATGACATGTATTCCCCAATATGCTACCGACCGCTGTATCTCGTGCATGAAATTTACTTTAAATTTGAATTCGTCTAAGAATATAAATTGTTGCAGCCAAGTAACTAAATCTTGACGTATTAATTAAACTTTTAAGTATC